TCACCAAATTTTATTAAATTTCATTAATAAGCAACAGAGTAATTGCAAATTTAGTGGAATGGTAACAAAATATTCAATTGTTAATAAATAATTAAAAAATTAATTTTTTTAAAAACTCATTTCAGGAATGTTTTTAATTCGGCTTCCTGCAATAGATTATGAAAAAAAATATTTTAAATTTGAAAAGTCAGTTTTAGGTGGCCCAGTTGGAATATTTTTACCCAACTCTTTACTTCTTTAACAGTTAAACATTTTTTTAGAAGTTTTGAATTTAGAAATTTTATAGTTTGAGAGATTTTACTTTTGAAAATTTTATACTTTCGAAAAATAAATTTTCAATCTTTTAAATTTAAAACTTTTTTCTTGGAACTTTTGATATATAATTCTTGTATCCCAATGGGGCCATCCATAAATTACGTTGCGCTTAAAGGGGAGAAGAGGGGGTCAAGAATTTGCAACATTCAATAGAAAAAATGGCGCTAATGTATGTAAAATGTGCAACAAGGGGGAGGGGGAGTCGAAAATGGTGAAAAATAGTGCAACGTTATTTATGGATGGCCCCTAATCGTTATTTTGTTATTATTTGATAATAGCAATTTTTTTTTTTTTTTTTGGTATTAAAAAGTACACGAAAAGCCCTTCAAAAACCTCTGTTTGAAAAATGAAATTTAATAATTTGTGTGAAAGTAACTTTCCACAATTTATTTTTTTTTTAATTGGCTAATTTCCTAATATTTTAGGAATTTGTTACTTTTAAATATAACAACAATTTTGCAAATTATCAAGCCAAAACTTTTAACTTTGACAGTTTATTAAAAATCAGTTGTTTTTCAGGATTTGACGATAAATTCAATGACTTTTACAGAATTTTTCCAAATTTATAAAATTCTCTTACTTTTTAGAATTTTAAGTTTTTCCAGGTGACATGGATCGTTTTTGGAGACTCGTAATATTTTTTTTTGAATTCTTAATATTTCATACCTGATTTAAAGAAAAAGTACTTATGCTGTTTTGTTCCTTGTGAATAATTTTAATAGGCTCTGGCAAACTGGTCGTACCATTCGATTAAGAATATCTACTCCACTTTGATTAGAATCTAATAACGCTGATAGTGATCTTCTTTTGCCAAACACTGATCTAATAAATATATCCTGCATAGCTTCTTGTCTCACCAAATAACACCATAAACAATTTACTGAAGCTGCAGCTGATAATCGAGTACTAGAAAAAAAAAAGAAATTTTCCAAATATAAAAAAATATAATAATAATTCAAAAATTTTATAATTTCTTATTAATTACTTTATTTATTTTTAATTAATTAATCTTTTTTAGCGAAAATAAAAAAATTTACAGGCCTCGAATCAATTTGAAAGCGCAAAAAAAAGTGCTCGCTTTAGTTTCATTATTTTACATAAACAAATATCACAAAAAAATTATGATTTGATTCAATTAAATTGTATAGAATTAAAAAAATCAATCGAAAATCAGTAAAAATATCATTAAGCAGTAGTGTATAAATTTAAAAGTAAAGTTCTTTCTTTAATTTTGTCGTTTTGTGTGGTCTAAAACAATCCTTATAATATGTGAGAAAAATTTCGATGCGTAAAGTTTATTTGGGTCAGTCCACTGATTTTCGTCTAATAGTGGTTGCGACCAAATTTTAAAAAAATCTAGTTTTAATATATGTGAAACCCGATGATTCCAATCTCAGATTATCACTCAATATTCCTTCGCTATCTCAAAGATTTTTGTTTTCTGACCTTCTTTTTTTATTCAAAATTATTAACGGTAAAATTAACTGCCCACATCTATTATCTTTATTTGATTTTTATGTACCTCAAAGATCTCCCAGAGCTCTTCCTTTATTTAGACTACTGTTTACTAGAACTGATTATTTAAAGAATTCTATTATCAACAGACTGAGTAAAGAGGCTAACCAGTTTGACGGCAATATAGATTTTTTTGGTATTTCACAAAGCTCATTTGTACAGGAATTACGCAATTTGTTTTTCAATTCAAGTAGTAATGGCGCAGCCAATTAGTAAATAAGTCTAACATTTTTGTAAACACAGTACTTTGTACGACAGGACTTTATTCCGGTATTGCCCGTGTAAATAAATAAATAAGTAAATAAATAATATTATGGTAAAAATTTTATTCCCTTTAAAAATATTAAATTTCAAAAGTAGGAGGTTCACAATGTGATTTTGTAACCTTAAATTTTTCAATTTTTTTAAAAACGCTATTATTAAAAAACTTAAAAATTAGATGTTGGAACTCACCAAAAACATAAATCACTTTATTCTGCACAGAGGAACGAAAGAATTATTGCAAAAATTTATTATTTTTAGATGATATACGATTTTTAAAAAAATTTTATTTAAATATTCTCCAAAATTTTTATTTACTTATAACATTTTTGTCGGTGCTCCGAAAAAATTGAGGTTTTGCACAAAGATTTTTTATAATATTCTTTACCTTCTATTAAAATCTTACGAAGGTGTTTTGCTTCGTTTTGGAGATAATAATTATAAAAAAATTTTATGTAAAAGGTTAATTAAAAGACTTGAAGTTAACTGACCAATTTCAAATCGCTACATTTTAATATATTTTTATAAAAAATGAAGCAGTTTGAATTTGGTTAGTTAACTTCAAGTCGTTTAATTAACCTTTTTAAATTACAAATTTTGAAAATTATTATCTCCAATTTAAGGTTACAAAATCACATTGTGAACCTCCTACTTTTGAAATTTAATATTTTTAAAGGGAATAAAATTTTTACCATAATATTATGGTTAATGAACTCAGGGAATCATCGAGTTTCACATATATTAAAACTAGATTTTTTTAAAATTTGGTCGCAACCACTATTAGACGAAAGTCAGTGGACTAACCCATTTATTTATTTATTTTATTACAACTATAAATTCAAAAATTTCCAAAATTTACAATTTTCTTTTTTTGATCACTCTTTATATTTTTATGATACAAATGATGCAAAAAAAAACAACTTCCAGCAATCATTAAAATTTAAAGGAATCATAAGAAGCTGGTGCCTCTCTTTAATAAATATAATATTAATAATAATAATAATAATAATAATAATAATAATAATTATTATTATTATTATTATATAATATTTTTTAATATATTAATTTTTTAATTATCGTAAGTTTTTTCTATACTACAATACGATGTTTAAACTTTTTTTTTAAATTCAATGACACATTAACAGAGATTTTTACTTGAAAAAAAAAAAAATTTTTAAATAAAAAATCCAACGTTCCGAAAACTTATCGTTTTAATAATTACAATAAAATAAAATAAATAAATTACGTCGGTAAAGTTCACACAACGTTTTTGATCAACGATTGAGAAAAAAAAATTATTTAAAAAATAATAATTAATTTTTTGCTCAACAAATATTTCTTTAAAAAATTGTCAATCGAGAAATGTTACAAACAATTTTTTAGAAAAAAAATTTACAATAATTACGGTAAAATATATTAATAATAATAAATTTCTATTTATTATTTATTAATTAATAAATATTAATTGATAAATATGAATTAATTAATAGTAATTGATAAAATATTATTTAATAAATATTTAGGGAGCCAATTTATATAATTTTCGAAGAGGGCAAATTCGTTTATTTGACAAAAAAGTTAATTCAAAATGTATTGATATTATTATATATATATATTAAAAGAGCGAAAATAGGGTATCCATAATTTTAATATTCATATAAAAAAATTCAGTTATAGTTAAAAATTTTGTCTAAACAAACAATCAGAAAATTTAACGAATAATCAACGTACCTTGAACTGCGTCCACCTGTAAACAAAGCTGATATGAACTGTAAAAAAAAAATTACATACCAAGTGTATGCGAGAAAAAATATCTGTGTTTCTTTTTTTCACATTTGTGTAATTTGACACAGTTAGAAACAAGTAAAATTAATTAAAAATCTAACTGATTTTTACAAAGTCTAAATTAAATTTTCTAAAATTACTGATTATAAGCAAATAAACTTTAAATATCGTAAATGCTCAATTACCAAAATAAAATAAATTACTCAAGTAGATGAGAAAAAAGATTCACTATATTTAAAAGGAAAAATTTACAAATAATTGAGCATTTACAAAGAGATTAATTCTCAAAAGGATTAATAATACATAAATCGATTAATACAAAAAAGACACATTTTTTTTTTACTGACTTGCTAGCGAATGAAAGGAAATTCTTTGAAACATAACCTCACTTTTAATAATTTCACGCGGACTTGTACAATCAAAAACCGAAAGGATATTAAGCTCCCTTGTCTTGACAAATAGGAATGTAGTCGAGTGCACACTATAGTAAAAAAGAATATCTTTTTCCAAAAAATCGTAAACAATCTTCTTTCCGCGAATTTGACTTTACTTGAAAAAATAAATAAAAGTTTATTAGCGACAACTACAGGTTTACAATTTAATCTAAAAATATGAAAATTTATTAAATAAAACTTTAATAAAAGGTGAAGAAAGTAAAAAACAAAGCCACTATAGAATGGCGATCGCGTGAGCTGGAAGAGTGGACGCCATCTGGTTTCAATTATCAAAAGTTGTCGAACGTCGATTCGTCGATTATCGATTAATTTCTTTCAAGTAATCGAATCTTGATTCTAACCTAACTGATCAATTATTATCAAACTTGTATATGTATATAATTAATTTGATATTATAATTGATATAAGTATATAATAATATATAATGAAGAAAGACGAGAAGTATTGCAACGATAATATCCGAAATTAAAGATCATTGTGAATAAATAAAAAAATTTGTGAATAGAAAAAAATTAATGATTATAAAAGATAAAGAAAAAAGTTAAAAAGTGTATAAAATAATAATAAAAAACATTTTTTCACTCTTTCTATGGTTGTATAATGTATATAAATATATAAGTGATTCGGGCAAAAGAAAGTTACCTGAAGAAAGAGCGTAACAAATTGGTTCTCGAATGGCAGGGACAATGGACCTCAGACGTGACGAGTGCATTTTCCAATACTCCACAGGGATTATATTAATCAAATCGTCCTTCTTGTTCGTGGAAAGCTCTGTCAACAGAATCAAACTACTTTAGGTATTATAAATTTATTATACAATTAAATATTCTATCAAATTAACCTACAAAATTTCTTTATAATTAATCATTTAAGTACTTATTTATTATTTCATTAAATTCTTATTTTTTAATGAATAATTATTTCAAAAATTTGTATCTAATTACTTTTAATTCTTTTAATTAAACATTATTTTAAAAATTGCAATGATCATTTTTAATTTAATTTTTTAATAAATCACGTCAGTGAAGTTTAAGACGTTTATTGGTCAACGAATTAGAAGAAAAAATATCTTTCTGTTCAAATTATTATTATTAAAAACAAAAAAATAATTATTATTTTTATTATTAGGTATTATTATTAGCTATTATTGTAATTATTTTTAATTTAATAATTTATTAAATTTCTTTCAATTTGGTAATTAATTATTTTAAGAATTATAATTATATTTCTTTTAATAGTAAAATAAATTTCTAAAAGTTGACAAAAAAAGTTGCTAAATAATTATTTTATTTATTATTTTTTTCAGGAATGATAAAAATCATCATTTAAAAAAAATCGGATTTTTTCCATTTAAATATGATTTTTTTATTTAAAATTTCTTTTTATTTACCTAACATTTTTCAAAGTTTTATTTCTAAATTATTTATTTTTAATAAATTTTTGATCAAAACATTTTTGAATTGAGAATTAAAATTGTCCAACAGTTCATGCTTTTGAAATTTGTTGATTTCTAAGAAATGATGATTTTCTAATATTATACTTTGAAAAGTTTGAATTGCTAAAACTTTTTTTTAGAAAATATTATATGAATTTTAAACTATAAAATTATTAGAAATTTTTTTTTTTAAAAAACTGTTTTACTATTTTCAACATTAATAACTTTTTAATAATAGTAAAATTACTCAAATATTTCAAATGATACTTTCTTGAAACATTCTTTCAACTAATTGTTATAGTTTTGACGTAATATAAATATTTTTAAACAAATATTTTCAGAGTTGCCACGTGGGTCGGGAAAAAATGGGGATTTTTATTATAAACATTGGAAAAATATCAAAGGGCTAAAATTATTTTTTAAAAATTCCGAATTTTTGAAAAAAAATTGAGAAATTTAATAAAAAAAAAAAATTTCCATTACTTAAATAAAAAAAATATTTTGTCAGGGAAAAAGATAAAAATTTTTCTGAAAATCAGGGAAAAATAAATTAAATTTTTGTGGCAACCTTGATTTTAAAAATTCGTGTTTTCAAAATTTAAATAAATAACTTTGAATAAAATCTCAATTGAATGTTCGCCAATAGATTAGCAAATGAATTTTGTACCTTAAAATGTACAAAATTATATGTGAAAAATATATTTAATTAATAAATTAATTGTAACCTGTATAAGTCGTTAGTAAATAAATAAATTTATTTAAAAAATTATTCTTTTAAAAGTAATTTTATTTTACAGAGGCTTTAGTAACAATATAGACGTGCATTCCAGGGATGTTTTAGTTGATCTTTTTGAGCAAAATATGAAAGTCAGCACAGATTTCAAATGGCTGTGTCAACTACGTTACTATTGGATCGTAATAAAATATATTTTATTATTTTATGTATAATTTATTTTTTTCAATTTCCATATGCATATAATTATCTTTAATTCCAGGACGAGAACATGCTGACAATGATTATTAACTTATCACTGAAATACGGTTACGAATATTTTGGAAATACTTCTCGACCTGTGATAACACCCCTAGCTGATAGATGTTATCGAACAATATTTGGTGCTTTGAGCTTACATCTTGGTGGCGCTCCAAAAGATCCCGCGGGAACTGGAAAAACGGAAACAATAAAAGATTTAGCTAAAGCCTTTGCCAAACAATACATTGTTTTCAATGGTTCCGATGGATTGGATTACATTGTTTAATTTTTCAAATAATTTAATAATTGATTTTTTTTCATTACAGTGTCTTGAATTAACCGGAGCCTGGTCACGTTTCGATAAATTCAACAGAATTGACCTGCAAGTATTGTCAGTAGTTGCACAACAAATTTTGACAATTCAACGAACAATTAATTCTGGAAAATCGACTCTTATTTTCGAAGGAACTGAAATTGGTTTAGATATAACGTGTACTCTTTTTATAACAATGAATCCTGGTTATGCTGGCAGAACTGAGCTTCCTGACAATTTGAAAGCCCTATTTCGTTCTGTAGCGATGATGGTTAGCTTAAAAAAATTCTTTTCTCTTTTTATTCTATTCAGAAAATTATTTTTTAAAAATATTAATTCTTATTTATTTTACAATAATTAAATTTATTAATTAATTAAAATATTCTATTTATATGAAAATATTTTCTTGAAAATAACAATTTAAACTTATTTTAAAAGGCAATTTTTTTTAAATAGTTTATAAAATATTTTTTTTTAAAAATAGTTAAGAGAATACAAATTTTTCAACTAATTTTATTGAAAATATAATTTTGAAAAAGGAAAATAATATTACTCAAATATTTCGTTTAAGAGGTGCCCGATTATGGATTAATAGCAGAAAATACTCTACTCGTATATTTTTCACAATGCACGACCATTATCTGTATATCAACTTTGCTCGGAGCAATTGTCAACTCAAAATCACTATGATTATGGGATGAGAGCAGTAAAATCAGTCCTTGTAGCTGCCGGAAATCTTAAATTGAAATAGCCAAAGATATTTTAATGTTACAAAGCATCAAAGACGTCAATCTTCCAAAATTCTTGAGTCCTGATATTCCACTTTTTCACGTAAAAATCGAAAAATGATTTTTTTAAATAAAAAAAATTTGCTTATAAAGATTAATATAAAAAATTATTTTTAATATTATTTATTATTACTAGTACTATTATTCCAATTAATTATTAACAATTTAAAACTTTTCTCTTAAATAGAATTTAATGAACAAACATAAAGTTGAGATGACGATATTTAATCCAAAATCCTTAACAATGGGACAATTTCATCCAGTTTCTCATGAATAGAGCGACGGTGTTCTTGCCGTTAGTTATCGTAGTTTTGCAATTTCAACAAATGAAAATAGAAAATGGTTAATTTTCTATGGACAAATTGATACCGTTTGGATTGAGAATATGATCACTGTTTTGGATGATAATAAAAAATTATGCCTAATAAGTGGAGAAATCATTCAATTGGCAAGGACAATAATTTAATTTTTGGAACAATGAACTTGCAAGTAGCGTCTCCAGCCACTGTGTCACGTTGTGGTAAACGCATTTTCTAAAATTTTGTTTTATAAATAAATGAAAATGAAAATATTTTATTGTTATTAAATTAAAGTCAATAGAATTTGAATTGAATCAATAATTAAATAATAATAGATATATTAAACTGAAAAAACATATATATTTAAAAATTTTTTCTTTTTAAAGGTATGATTTATATGGAACCATCGGCTTCAGAATGGGAACCGCTATTAAAATCATGTATTGAAACAACGCAGAAAATTTTCAGCACTTTTTTAAAAACTTTTTATACGAATCTTTTTTTATTAGATTTTGTAAACCATTGTTTTTTTAACTTGGACGTGGTGGAGATGAGGTAAAATAATTTTCTTAAAATCGCTATCTATTCGAAATTCAAAGGTGAAAAATTAAATTTTTTTTTTTAGGAAATGTGTCCAATGCCTGATTCAAATTTACTTCGATCAATAACACATTTAATGAACTGTTTCTTCGATGACTATAAAGATGAAAAATTTGCAAAATCCATTAGTGAATTTGATCTGCGAGCTCAAGTTGACGTAATTTTTCTTAATCTATTTTTTGGTAATTTTTTTTTTTTTTTTTTGCTTTTGATAAAATTGATTTTAGTTTTTATTGAAAAATAATAAATAATTATTATTAATTTGAAAAAATAATTTAAAAAACAGGTATCTTTCTTTTTCACCTGTATTTAGGCAATGGATGGAACTTTAAAAGCTCAGTACAGAGAAACATTCAGTACCTTGTTTCGAGGACTTTTGGAGAAACAATTTCCAGATTCTCTAATGCGACAATTTCATTTGCCTGAATTCGTTCCTTCACCTCATAAACCCTACATTTTTTTTATGCCAAAAGATGATCTTGTCTTCGACTACAAATTCATCCGAGAAGTATACATATTTTTAAAAATATTTCTTAGTATTTAACAATTTGTAAAATTTGTAAAAATTTGTAAAAATTCTTTTGTATTTTTTTCCTACTAATCTGTCGACAAAAAAAATTATTGACAAAACTTTGCAACATTTTTTTTTAATAAAATCTATGCTTAATATAATGATTCTTTGCAGGGCAAAGGAAAATGGAAATTGTGGAGCGATGAATTAATAAATATACCGCCGATACCGAGGGATATTCCTGTGAATCAAATAATTGTACCCACTATTGAGACAATAAGATACAGGGCACTTTTTCAATTATTGATTCAACATCAAAAGCCAGTTTTATTTGTTGGTTCAACAGGCACTGGAAAATCTGTCTACATTATTGATTTTTTATTAAAAAAAATGACGCTAAAATTTATAAGCCATTGATTACTAATTTTTCGGCACAAACAACAGTCAATCAAACGCAGGATATTATAATGACAAAACTTGATAGAATAAGAAAAGTAGTTTATGGTCTTCGACAGTGGTTGGAACATTGGCTATGGTATTTAATCATTTTTTTTATTTAATATATAGGGGAATATTTTCTACTAATGTGGAAAATTCCGTCACCTTTAATGACGGAATTTGTGTTATGTCAAATTTATTTATTTTATATCACAAATGCCCACAGTTCATGTGGAACATAATTGGATTAATTACAGAAAAGTATAAAATAAAGGCTTAATCTAAAAATATTATTAAGAATTTCGATAATAAAAAGTTATCGAATTTTTATTTATTAAAATTTTATAAAGTGGATTTTATAATGATCCTAGTTTTCATATCAAAGAATTTTTATTCAACTAAATTCTAATTTAGTAGAATTTTTATTTAACTGAACTTTCATTAAGCAGATATTCTAATACAAAGAATTTTCAAATAATATAATTTCCATTTAACAGAATTTATGTCTAGTAAAATTTCGAAAAAAATAATTTTCCTTTAACAGAATTGTTTTTTTATCGAATTTTTATTTATTCAAATATATTTTTGTATTTTAAATAATTACAAAAAATTGAACATTCTTAATAGAAAAAAAATTCTGAGTTATATTATTATTTTAAAAAAATAAATTATCCGTTATTTACTAAAATTAAATTAATTACAACTAATTGATTAATGCTAAACTAGCATTAATAAATTAGTTTAATTAATAAATCTGTGAGAATTGATTTTTTGATTTTTGTTTTATGAATTTTTAATATTAATGCAAACTAAAAAAATTATTTTTCAACCTTTTTGGTCTATTTTGCCTTCAAATTTTTTTTGTATTCAAGGGTGTTGAACGATCTCTGAAATTCTTTGGCAAGGATAGACCTTTTATTATCACCCTATAAAAACGACACTGAACTTGAAAATTATAAACATTGATTTTAAAATACTTTTTTCTCGAAACTTTTTTCCCTGCATGCTTCTGCCACCTGACGGCGGCAGAACGTAACGAAACGTAAACAAATATTCCAAGTAATATTACTACTATAATTTCAATATTCAGGTATAGAAGAACAATTAATACAATAGGGTGTCATAAATGGTTTATTATGACTAGACTTTCTGTCGACTCTATTGTTGTTATCTTTCCTTATTTTTCGTTTGGAATATTTAATATTTTAATGTAATATTTTATCAAAAATTAAATTTTCGACCACAATTATGAACTAAATTCAAAATTTGTGTTTCCTCTAACTCTGAATTAAATTCTTAACAGATTATTTGTTTATATAAATTGTTTACAAAAAAAAATTTATTTCAAAACATTTGATTAATGGAAAGGAAATTTACATGCAAAAATCTAAAGCAAATTTACTCAGAAAAATAATTAAATTAAAAAAATTTAAATAGACAAATGATAGAAGATCTAATAAATTTACCTTTTTAGACCATTGATTTGTATTGTAAATAAATTAACAGTATAAACTGATTTAAAAATGTTCTTTAAATACTTTTTAAAAATGAAAAAAAGTAAAAAATTTTTTAAGACTTTTAGGATATTTTATTTTTAATTTAAAAAATAATAATATAGCTATATTTTCTTTTATTCAATTGACAATTTATTAGTTATATTTTCGAAATTTTTTTTTTTAAATAGCTGCGACTTTGTGCTCCCTGTATGCTTCTGCCATCTAACGGCGACAGGACGTAACGAATCATAAACAAATACTTCAAGTAATATTTTTATTCAATTTCAATATTCAGGTATAGAAGGAGAATTAATACAATAAGATGTCATAAATGGTTTATTATGACTAGACTTCCAGTCGACTCTATTGTTCTTATCTCTTCTTATTTTTCTTTTGGAATATTAAATATTTTAATTTAAATATTTTAATACAAAATAAGTTTTTGACCACAATAATGAACCAAATTCGAAAATTCTTGTTTCCTTTAACTAAGAAATAAATTCTGAACAGATTAAAAATTTAATTAATTTCTGACCAAAAATTGTGGTACAATATATTTGTTTATATAAATTAATTACAAGGTATTAAAAAATTTTTTTTGAAAACAATTCCTTAATGAAAAGGAACGCGGAAAAATTTAAAGCAAACTTACTCAAAAAAATAATTGAATTAAAAAAATTTAAATAGCTAAATGATAGAACATCTAATTAATTTACTTTTTAGACCACTGATTTGTATTGTGAATAAATTAATAGTATAAATTAATTTAAAAATGTTCTTTAAATATTTTTAAATAATGAAAAAAAGTGAAAAAAATTTTAAAAATATTTGGATATTTTATTTTTAATTTGGATAAAAAATAATACATATTTTATTTTAAAATCTTTTTTTCAATTGATAATTCTTTAGTTTCATTTTGAAAAAAGTTTTTTTAAATAGCCACAACTTTGTGCTTCCTGCATGCTTCTGCCATCTGACGGCGATAGTACGTAACGAAACATAAACAATTAATACAATAGGGTGTCGTAAAAGGTTTATTATGACTAGACTTCCAGTCGGCTCTATTGTTGTTATCTCATCACCTTACATTTTCTTTTGAATATTTAATATTTTATCACAAATCAACTTTTAGACCATTGATTTGTATTGTGAATAAATTAATAATAAAAATTGATATACAAATGTTCTTTATAAATTTTTTTAAAATGAAAAAAGTGAATTATTTTTTAAGATAATTTTATTTGTGTATTTTCATCAGGTAAGTGACGATGAATTTAGAAGACTGGTTTTCTACGACTTTACTGATTCAAAAGCAGATGTTCGATTATATCAAGAGGTTGTTGATATGGAAGTATTACGTGGAATTGTTGAAACATATCTGACCGAGTACAACTCGATGACAAAGAAGCCAATACACTTGGTACTCTTCAGGTAAACTTGAAAAAATTAAAACACAAATAAATTAATTTTTATATAACACTGAATTTATTAAAAATAATGAATTATTCAAATAAAATTATAAAATAAATTATTTAATAGTAAGGAAAAAATTTATCAATCCATCCAAATCAAGTAGTCAATAAAATTACTATTCATTACACCGAGTGATAAATTCATTATTAAATAAATTATTTAATAATTATTAAAGTAAATTAGTTATAAAAGTTAAATTAATTAATTAAAAATTTTATAAATTGTTTTATTTTATTCATCTTATTTATTAAAATTAAAAATTTTAATAATTTACTTTTTATATTGAAATAAAAATATGAAGAATAATGAATATAAATTTTATACTATTAAAATAGTGATTATTTTAAGTTCAGTTTTATTAGTTCTTTTCATATTATTACATATTAGTTTTTTAATTATATCTGAAATTCTTATATCGATTCTACAGATTTGCCATTGAACATTTGTCAAGAATTTCACGAATTATAAAGCAACCGAGAAGTCCTGCTCTTCTTGTTGGTGTTGGTGGTTCCGGAAGGCCATTATTAACAAGATTATTGCCACACATTTGCGACTATGATGTTTATCAAGTCGAAATTAGTAAACATTATAAAATGCACGAATGGCACGAGGATATTAAATTAATTTATAGAAAAACAACAAATTCAGAACTTCATTCAACTTTTCTCTTCACTGATTCGCAAATTAAGGAGGAGAGCTTTTTAGAAGATATCAATAATATTCTCAATTCAGACAAGGTACGTTAAAATTCGAATCACTAATATTAAAAATCCACATTTTTGTTGTCCACAAATTTTAAGTTTTCAATTTTTAAATTCTAAGTTCTCTGATGGTTTTTCTACTCTTTTTCAACCTCAGAAAGGAAGACCAAAAATGTCTTTTACTTAATTCTACTCAAGAAAAAAAAGTAGAAATATTTTTCTGTAGTTTTCAACAACCCGTGTGGAAAAGTCGACTGGGCCCCAATCTGGTCCAGACTGGGTTTCCCAATGTCCAAAGTGGGCAACCCAGACAACTCCCAAACAGGGCGCGTAACGCTGATCCCAAAGATTTCCCAAGGTTGGGAAATCCCAGCTGGGGCCAGATTGAGTTATTCCATTTTTATTTATAATTGTTAGTTAATAATTATATAAATAATTTAAAAACAAAAGAGTAAATTAAATGAATAAATATAATTTCCTTTTAAATTAAATTGTATTAAAGATGACGACTAACAAACAATGTATATAGTAAAAAAAGTACAAAAAAATATTTATATAATTTAAAAATTAAATAATAGTGTATGTATTAGATTTTCAAGTTTTGGTACAACTTATAAATTAAAATCTAGAAATAAACAAAACTGCGCACGAGGGGAATCGAACCTACGGACTTATAGATTAACGCTCTAACCACTATGCTAAGGACGCGTACCTGCAGACAAGTTTTAATTTCTCAGTATCAAAGATGTGAAAAATATCATTAGGTTAGACAATAAATTAAAATATAATCACTTAATTAATTTCATTTATTTTAATTTAACATTTTTACCAGTAATAATTTGGATTAGTAAGTACCAAAGTATAGTTGTCGTTAAAGTCAAAATTTTGTTTAAATAATTTATTAAATTAGAAAATTATGTTCAATTATTATTAATAAATTGAATAAAAATAGAAAATAAATGATTGAGAATGGGGTCAGAGTGGGAAACCCCAAACTCAACAAACGACTAAGTTATTATTATTAATTAGCTTAGTTCAATAAATTAAAAACTAAGAACTTGACATACATTTTATTTATTCAAGGAAGGTATTATTTAAGCATTAATATAATTAACTAAAGTTTTCAATTTCCTTATTTTTCCTTAAATGTGAATTTTGCCCATATTGGCTTTTGGAAAAATCTCCAAACGGCATATAAATTAAATATAAATATAATTAACTAGTTTTATTATTTCTCAAGTTTTTTATTTATTTATAACAGAATATTAAATTAAATTTCAGTTTGGGAATACTTTGGGAAATCCCAGTTGGGTCCAGGTTGGGTTGACCCAAACTTTGCCCAAGTACAATGAAAAACAAAAATTTTTTTCAGCTTTTCACAGTTGCGCTTTTTTGTATATTTCTTCAGCATATTATTTAAATAATAATTTAATTAACTGAATTCTTTATTTCTTCATTTTTCAAACTTTGGGAAGCCAAGTTGGGCCCAGACTGGCGCCCAGTCTCACTTTGGGCGACTTTGGGAAGCTTTCCACACGGGAAACAATCGTTATCAAATATTAATCTTGGTCGTGTCAGCGGTTCTATGGTCGTTTTTCTACTCACTTTGCACCTTAGAAAGAGAAAAATAAATTTTCTTTTACTTAATTCTAGTCAGGAAACCAATTGCGAATTTTCTTTCCACTTTTCATCAAAAAATTTTTGTCAAATATTAACAAATAATTTGTTAATTTGAATTATTATATATTAATAAGTTAATATTACAAATTAACAATAAATCGTAACATTAAAGACAAAAAAAATTTTAGAAAATAAATTTAGACTGATAATACATAGAAACTAGAAATAATTTTTCATTAAACAATCCAACATCAATAAAACAATTAATAACAATTAAGATACACTGATAAAAATTATTATTTTTTTTATTTGTTTTTAAACTAATTATAAACAATTTCTAGCAAAAAAAGTTGCATAAAAGTTCTAGAATATTAAATAATTATTCGAAAAACCATGGTGACGCCACTATTTTTTAATGAAAATTCAACTTTTATGCATTATTAATAACAATTAGGTTGCAAAAAAATTGTAGGATATTAATTAATTATTCGAAAAGCCATGGCGCCGCCACCGCTTTTGAATGAAAATTCAACTTTTTTTCAACTTTTTTTTTGATCAAAGCATTTTAATTGTTATTAACTATGCATAAAGTTGAATTTTTAGTCAAAAATGGTTCCGCCGTTATGGTTTTTTCCAAAATTAATAAATATCCTAGAACTTTTTTCAATTGTAAAACACGTAGGAAAAATAAAATTTTTCATCAATGCATTTTAATTGTTATTAACTATGCATAAAAATTGAGTTTTCATTCAAAATTGGTTGCGTCATCATGATTTTTCGAATAATTAATTAATATCCTACAATTTTTTTAAACTTTTATGGTATAAAATTATTCGTATTTAATATAGCAATTAGTTTCAAAAATAAAATTTTTGATCAAAGCAACCTAATTGTTATTAATAATGCATAAAATATGAATTTTTATTTAAAAGTGGTTTCGCCAGAATGGTTTATTCAATAACTAATTAATTTCCTAGAAATTTGTTTCAACTTTTATTTCTTAAAATTGTTTATAATAAGTTTACAAATAAATAGAAAAAATAATAATTTTTATTAGTGAATTTTATTTGTTATTAATTGTTTTATTAATATTTGATTGTTTAATGAAAAATTATTTTCTAGTCTCTATCTATTATCAATTTTACTTTATTTTCTACAACTTTTATTGTCTTTAATGTTATAATTTAATGTTAAATTTTAATATAAACTACCTAAAATCTAATAATTGAAATTAACAGATTATTTATATTAATGTTAAATTTACTGCAAATTTTAATGTATATATTCATTATAATCTGAAACATAATAACTTAATAACCCCAATTTTCATTATCATTTTCGTAAGCAGAACACCAAAATACGTTAGTATACCAAGTTTCATTAGAATCGAAGGGGAGACGCTTTCGGAACTTCACCCATAGTTTTAACCCGTGTTTAATAAATAAAAACTTATCTAAATTATTTTCTATTTTTTTTCGTTCAAAGCATCGACAAATGGTAGGCGAGAGTCGGGAGTTGTGCTCCAGGTTTTGTTTTTCGATCAAAACTATTATATAAATTTTTTTTGATTATTCTATTATCCCAGTAAAAAAGGATTTTTTAAGATAGCAGTTCGGACAATTGAGCAAGCCGTTTGCTCAATTGTCTAAAATGCATTCGGACAATTGGAGAGTTTGCATTATGCCCAATCATCCACAATATTTCTCGTGTCTAAAAAGCTGCTAAAATAATATGAAAAACTATTGAAACATTGAAAAAACGGTAGAAAATGCATAATTCTTGATATATACAGAAAAAGAAAGTATAAAAATACCTCGATCGAGGAAAAGGAAAGAGTTTTCCGAAAAATCACTTTTTAACTGACAGTATACTGCTGTACTTGACATTTTATGGGTAAAGAAGAGAAGATTATGATAATGAGTGACACTTCATTATCGACTCTCAATATTTGTCGAATGGTAAAATATAATAGTAGATTTCTTTCTGATTTTTTAAAAAAGGAATAATTATTGAATTAATTGAATTAAAAATTTTCTTACTTTTATATTTCATTTATTGTTATGTTTTTATTATATGTTTATATTTTTTTAGTACTAATTTAAATATTTATATTTAAATTTTAATTAAATTAATTAAATTAAAAATTAGTTTAATTATTTAAAATTAATTTAATTATTTAAAATTATTTAGTACATAATTATAATTATATATTATTATTAACTAATAATATTATATTATTATTACTTATATTATGTATTATAATATATATTATAATTATACATCAAATAGATAAAATTTTAAAAATTGTTAGAAATAAAATATAGGGTAACTGCACCAGTGGTGGATCAGTTAAGCCCCTTAACTTTCTTATTTTGACTTTGAAGCTCTGTATAGGTTGTTTTTAGACAAATTCGAGGTTATTCTTTATAGTATTATGGACCAGATAGTTCCAATAGACATTTCCTTCAAGGTTAGACTTAATTTTGACACCTACGTTTACTTTAATGCTCCATCAAAGATAATTTTCAATGATCCTATTCTGGATCACTGTTTGCATCAGTCATGGTTATAGATTGCTCCAGTGGTGGATCACTTAAAAAATCATACTAAAAAACATTACATTTTAAAATTATGAGACTGAGACGTTTTGCAACTTTTATAAGGCTTTACGGACAGATTTTCAAATTCATTTTCCTATCCATATCCCCTCCTCTTTCATTTCTATAGGTATAATGTGACTAAATATTAATTAATCATCTTTTTATGAGAATTTTTGGTAATAAATAAATAGAAACTCTTAAAGCTTCAGTTTCAATGATGAATAACATTTATTAATTCTGGGTATTTTAATTCAACAAAAATTTAACAATTTGAAATCAGGGGGTCGATTACGTAACTTTCCCACTTCCCACATCCCACTTCCCACATTTTACATCCCACTTCTCACTTCTCACATTTTACATCCCACTTCCCACATCTCACTTCCTACATTTTACATCCCACTTCTCAATTCCCACATTTTACATCCCACTTCTCACTTCCCACATTTTACATCTCACTTCCCACATTTTACATCCCACATCTAACTTCCTACATTTTACATCCCACTTCTCAATTCCCACATCCCATTTCCCACATTTTACATCCCACTTCTCACTTCCCACATTTTACATACCACTTTCCTCATCCAACATCTTGTGGGAAATGGGAGAGATGTGAGAAGTGGGATATAAAAGGTGGGAAGCGTGATAAGAAAAATGTAATGTACAATGTGAGATGTGAAGTGTGAAAAGTGAAATGTGAGAAGTGGGATGTGAAATGTGGGAAGTGAGATGTGGAATGTGAAATATGGGAAGTGGGATGTGGTATGTGAAATATGGGAAGTGGGAAGTGGATATGAAATATGCGAAGTAAGA